TTTTGGTGACTTGAATTCTTCACCTATAGAGGCTGGTCCATTTTTTTTTAAGCAAAAGTTATTGAGAATATGAGTAATTCACAATTTAATCATATCTCTATGAATTTTAATTTAAACAGAGCCTTAATTTTGACTTAGGCAAAGAATCATGCATGAAGATACCTTAATATTTTGTCTTAATATCAATACAACATTGAATGATTCTGAATTGATCCACTCTAAATTCTGTTTAAGCCAATATGACTTAGGAATGAGGAATGACCAACTTTTCTGATTGCAAAAATATTTTTGTGCATTTAAGTTAGTGTTTATTAAATGTTATTAGTTAATAAAACAATATATGCTTTATGGGATGGAATATATTTTAAATGAAAACACCTTGGCCATATAACTTTAAAATAATATTGAAATATTTCAAACCAAAAATGGTTGAAAGTTTTTTCAGAGTTTTTTTTATAATTTTCATTATTCTTTAGTAGTAGCTTGCAATTTTCATAGCTATATGTAATACATTTTTATTTTATTTATTATTATTTTCCATATTTTACATACCTATCCCAGTTTCCTCTTCCTCCCTCCCATGCTCCCGATCCCCCCTCCCATCCCATTCCCCACCCACTCCACAGGGAGGGTGAGGCCTTCCAAGAGGGATCATCAAAATCTGTCAAGTCATTTGGATTATGACCTAGGCCCTCCCTCCTCTCTTTAGGTTAAAGGAGTATCCCTCCATGGGATCCCTCCATGGGATACTCCTAAAGTCCTTTTATGCACCAGGGATATATCCTGGTTTCACTTTTAGAGGTCCCATAGACTTCCCAGGCCTTCTAACTGTTCATGTTCAGGGGGTCTGGGTTGGTATAATGCTGGTTTCCCAGTTATCAGTCTGTGGGGACCATGAGCTCCCCCTTGTTCAGGTCAGCTGTCTCTGTGGGTTTCTGTAGCCTGGTCTTGACCCCTTTTCTTATTACTTCTCCCTCTCTGTAACTAGATTCCAGGAGTTTGGCTCAGTGTTTAGCTGTGGGTGTCTACTTCCGTTTCCAACAGCTACTAGATGAAAGTTCTAGGATGGCATATAAGTTAGTTATAAATCACCTTATCAAGGAAGGGCATTTAAGGTAGCCTCTCCACTGCTGCTCAGATTGTTACTTGGGATCATCCTCATAGATTTCTCTAGAGTCAGTTTTCTCTTCAAACCTATAGAGGCTCCCTCTATTATGGTATCTCTTTTATTGCTCTCGTCTATTGGTCTCCTGACTCAATCTTCTTGGCCCCATATGTTCTTCTCTCCCCTCCAATTTTCCCCTTCTCTTTTTCCTATCTCCCTCCTCACTCACTGCTGCCCCCCGATTTAATACATTTTTTATACATAATTTTTGAATTGATTCTTTGGGAATTTTACATCATGTTCCCCAATCCCACTCATTTCCCAGCCCTCCATATTCACCCATCCCGTTATAACCATCCCACAAAAGGAAAATAAATAATTAAAATTAAAAAGAAATACAAATGAGCAAAGAACCATCTCACTGAACCCTCTGGGCAACAATCTGCTCCTTTACCAATCAGAGCCTTCTCTCACATGAGTTACAGTTGTCATGTATGCAGTTCCTCCAAACTTGTACCACTTTGCTCCTCCATCTTTCCTGCCTCCCCATCACATACTCATTTGTAGTAGTGGCACTGGAAACCACAGTATGTCACTCAGTATACTCTTTTGCCCAAAACACATTATATTGCAAATGTTCATTGCAATGAGCCATTGGTCTGGTTCAAGATCTTTGGCTTCTGCTACACTATCAATACTGAATCCTCACTGAGACTCTTCTTGGATACCTTGCTATTGCCCAGAGTCACGGAGAGCCTGTGGCTATGGTTCTGCGGGACTGGCCCCTTCACATGTTCTAGCAGATCATAGAGTAGATGTTGTGGTAGGTCAACTCAAAGCCCTGAATTTGGTTCTTGGTGGCAGCTGAGTTGGTCAGCCCATGTTTCCTCTGGCCCATCCCCTCAGAGCATGGTGGAGACAGCTCTCCTTCCCCCAGACCATGAAAGAAAGGCTATCTCTCCCACAGCCCATGAGGGGTGGGGTCAATCTAGCACATTACTTGGACATCAACATGGCTTCAGGAGGCAACCACATCGCCCCTGGAGGTAACATGGGCCACATACATCAACACAGACCCCAGCTATAGTAGGTCCACACACTTAGACCTGGCCCCTGTTGACAGCACAGGCCCAGATGTCATGATGGCTCCAGGTGGCCATGTAGGCCACTCAGATGACTATGGCCTTCAGCAGCAGCATGTGATCTAACCTCACCTCCAGTGAGTCTCCCGTTTTAGCACAATGCATGAACCACTCCACTTCTCTTTCTCTCTCATGTCTCCATTGAATACTCCATCTTTCCCATCTCTCCATTCCCCATTTGTTCATCACAGTGGCACCTTCTGTTCTGGGTCACAGGGCCAGGGCTTCTGCTCAGGCCAATGTAATGCATTTTCTTATTCCCTCAATACTTTTCCCTCCTGGCTGCATGTGGTTCTTTTTTTTTTTTTTTTTTTTTTTTTTTAATTCACTGAATTAACTTCAGGTAATAATTTATCTCAAGAATTCTATATACATATATGGTAAAATATGATCATAACCACTATTCTTGTCCCCCTTTCCCTCCCTCACACATGTCCTTAAAATTTTTGTTTTGTTTGTCTTTTTTGTTTCCTTCCTTTATCTCTATCTGGGTCTCTGTCTCTTTAAAACTCATCAGGTACAAGCAGGGATCCCCATATGTGCATGGGGATGTGGCCATCCACTGGAGCATGGAAAACCTGTCTGTGGCCACTCCTTCAAGAAAAGAATGATTTTTACTTCCTCTGCGGCTATTGAATATCAACAGCTCTCCAGGAAGGCCAGGGGTCCTCAGATCACCTCCATATTCATGCAAGAAGTTTGATTGTTATAATCTGCAAATCCTCAGCTGTTGATAGTTCGCAACTGTAATAGGGAGGGGAGGAAAGGAAAAAAAACAACCAAAACTTAAGATGTATGAAATAGGTTTTGTTTAATCTAAGTTGCATTTCTACAGCTTATGATGATAACAAATATATCATTTTATGTAATTACTTTAAAATATGTTACATCACTATGATCAATTATCTACTTAAAACAGTTTCAATGAGAAGTCAGTCCAGAATAACATTTATAAAACAAATTATAAACCTACAGTCCTAAGAATTAAATGTGTATTAATAGAATACCGAACCAGGCCCCCTGAACGTGGTCTGATCAGTCTATGGGGCTTCTGGCAGTGGAACCGGTATTTATCCCTAGTGCAGGAATGGACTTTGGGAGCCCATTCCCTATGGAAGGATACTCTCTCCACCTAGATACACAAGGGAGGGCCTAGGTCCTGCCCCCAAAAATGTGACAGACTTTGATGATCTCCCATTGGAGGCCTCACCCTCCCTGAGGAGTGGATGGGGGGGTGAGGTTCAGGGCTGGTGGGGGAATGGGAGGACAGGAGGGAGAGGGAACTGGGATTTGGTATGTAAATGATTGTTTTTTCATTTAAATAAAAATAATTTTTTTTAAGAAAAGAATTAAATTAGTCAAAAATTTCTCTAGGGGAATTGGAATAAGAATGGGAATTCAAATCAGAAAAAGAATTATGTAAAGTTTTGAACATTAAAAAGAACTCTTTAATGTGGCTTTTAAATGCATAATAGCATTAAATGGTGCTGAGATTCTTTTGGGCCCCTTTCAAAGCAAGAAGTAGTAGTTTTATTTAAGGATGTCAGCATCATGATATATTGGAAACTGTGATTTTCATGGTTAAGTTAATGGAAGCTGTTTAAATGTTACTCTTAAAACAATTAAAACTATTTCATACACATGTAAATACTCCTTGTATACTAGGTGGAATTAAAACTCTCCTGTGCCTATTGATGGTGGGTAATAATTAATAGCTGCTTGAAAAGGATAAAATTTAAACAAAGGCTAAATTTCCAATGGAGAAACTTGGAAAATAGCATCTCAATGGAGTAATGAAGATTAAGAACCAGAAATGACATATTGACACGATATATACCACAATTTCATATGATCAAAAGATATCACTTTTTATATTATTTCCAAAACCCTCAAAAATCTAAGTGAACTATGAATTAGGCATCAAGGAGAATTTGAAGGATACCTAGTCAGTATTCCCTAATGCTGTCATGTTTAAGAAAAGTAGGGGAGATTGAAAAAATACCAAACACCAGTGGAAGAGATGGAAGGAATCAAATTCACCATGGAAACATAGGTGGTACTTAACAATACAGGAGAAACAAATAAAAAATGATGAGACCCATACAAACTCCAGAACTCAGCTTTGAAAACATGAAAGAGATAATAAAACATAAAAAATGGATGGATTCCACAGTAGATGTTTGAAGGCAACTGATGAGCTTAAAAATCTGAGAGGTGTGCGCACAGATTAGAATTTTAGCTTAGAAATGGTTTTTGATAGATATACTTCAAAAGTATTATAACACTGGTGAGCAGTGTTATAATACATGTGGAACCAGCATAAGTGCCTATGCATGATTAAATGAGTAGATAAATTATAGTATAATTGGCTAATGAGCATTACATATTAGATAATAAGAATGGACTAAGGCTGTCAACAAAATCAAGTAAAGAGATAATAAATATAGCAAATTATCAAGGGTGATATATTTAACCTTAAAACACACTAAAAAAATTCATTGAAATCTCCAAGAATATATTTACATTTGGAAAAATCACATATGCTTAAGAATATTATTCATTTGTTTCAAGTAGTGGTTTATTTTCAACTGGGAGAACAGTTCAGTGGAAACAGGTATAGAAAAGCTCCCAATTTATCAGCAACCATTTACTTAAAATAATGAAATGTTGCAAAATTTTGAAAATTTGTTATGAATGCATAATTACTCTTGTTGCTGGGATCACAATTTTCACTAATTGAAAGTGAAGTAAAAATGCTCACTTTAGCAGCACATATATTAAAGTTGGAATGATACAGAGAAGATTAGCATGGCCTATTTGCTGAGATGACGTGTGTGTGTGTGTGTGTGTGTGTGTGTGTGTGTGTGTGTGTGTTTGCAATAACAACTAACGGAAAAAGAGGCCTGAAGGAGAAAGTGTGTGTGTGTGTGGAGGAGAGGGGTATATATGGGTCTGGAAGAAGGAAAGGAAAGGGATAAATGTTGTAATTATATTACAGTTTCAAAAACAATAAAAGGCAAAAAATTAACATTGATGAATGGTATTATTAAATGTATTTGAATCTATTATAATGTATTAAAATGAACATAGTAAGGGTGGGGAAATTGGCCAAGGGAGAATATGTTCAACGTGTATATCTGTAAGAAGGTTGAATATGAAAAAAACAACGAAGGAAATAAGGTCAGGGAGTCTGTGAATGTAGGAATAGCTCAGGCGTTGACTAATGGGAAGCCGTTCATTGTAGATGATGGTTCAGAGTTCAAAAGCTTAGCTGAAATGATCAAAGGACCTCACTCTCAATCAAATCTAGAGATGAAGAATGGAAATTGGGCCTTTGGAATGAACCCTCGGAGAAAGGATTTCATTCTAAGAATACCCAGGGTGTTGGGGATTTATATATAAGAACATAAAACCAAAATGTATCTGTTGAAACTGATGTCTGAGGTCAGGCATTAGGACTGGCCCTGGATGATCTAGAGTGGCATTTTCTAAAGAACTTGAACAGGGCTCACTTTAGTTATCACTCTTCCATTGCCTTAGATCGCCTTTGTGCAGTTGAGGTAAAAATGGTACCCATTTCTCAGGCAGGCTACAAATATTAGCTATCATTTCTAACTGCTTAGAACAATGCCCAACACTAGTACCCCTCATAGTTAAAGATAACAAAACTGCTGAAACAAACAAACAATCAAAAACATAGCACCAAGTCTGTGCCCATTTTTTTCTGTGCCCATGCTGATGTGTTTTTCTCCAAAAAATTAATTGTCTCATTTGGCAAGAACAGCATGGTCTTGTGCCAAAGCATTAGTTGACCTACACAGCCCTTTCTCTAAAAACTCCAGAGTATATCTCATTTGAGTGTGTTGACAAGCACTGAACGATGAAAGGCTTATCTTCTTCTCATTTTCTTTGTAGCAACACTTATTGGCTGCTCTGCCCTGGCTTAAGACAGAGAAACGGGGACCATAACAGCAAACTTGGAAAGTTTTGAAAGAAACAGGTGTGAAACATTTGTAATTTATCAAGTTTTGAGTATTTCAGGGTTCACACCAGAACAAAAATCTGTGTTGATAGAACAGAGAAAATTCATTTTAGGAACATGTATTTTCACAATTATACAATAAAAAATACTTACATTTGAAAAATATTGTAAATACTAAGTGACCAATAATCTCATCAAAATACAAATAATATTTCCTTCTGAAATTTAAAACAGACACTTAACTACTACCATTATCACCTAAAATCTCATTAAATTATAACCCAGATCTCATCATGATTTGGTACATGCTCTCTTCTACCATAATCAGAGAGTTCTAGATATCTTCACACATTATCACTCTTCAGCCACAAGCTTGTCATTCAGGGGAATATTTTAAACCTGTCTATTTGGAAACCCACAGATCATTCCAGGATTCCCAAGAGTGTTGAATGATGCTGCAGGGCTATTTCAAATTCATTAATGTCATTACAGGAAACTAATAAAACAATACATCATTTAAAACACATTGTTTTTTAATATTATATTCTGAGTGTGGCTGCATATGTCATTGTCACTTATAACACTCATATCTAGCACAAATGCTGTAGCTGAGAGCACTTGGGAATTGAAAGATTTGTTTGAGCTGAACTATACCAAGTAAGCCTAACCTCAATGTGAATAAAATAGATATGTTGCAGGAGTTACAAAAAAACAACTGCATAAAAAATTTCAGGGAATCATTTGTTTTCCATAAAATCACAAGTAATTTTGTTTTTATATTCAAATACTAAGATACTGAACTACAAAATAGATAATCTAATTGTTGCTCTCATCTTGCTGATAGTGGGGAGAAAGAAATAAATTCTTGGTGCTAAGCCTTGTTTGATTGACCTGAAGTGGTCGAATATCGACAGTAGTTATCTAGGTGGGCTCTATTGCTAATCATCCAATATATTCAATCACTGAATTAAACAAGGACTCATCACCACACCAACTTCTTCCATTAGGAGTTTGTTTATGATGAAACATATTCTGTGTGATTCTACCGTCTAACATGAAATATCACCCATTCCCATCTCCAGGGACATTATACACAAATCTGAACTGAGCAACCGGGTTATCCAATTCTCTCATCATTAGGTCTAAATCAGAGTTGCCCATGTTTCAGAACATTGGTGTTCGGAGAGTATCTTTGTAGAAACAGGTAGAAGGATGCTGGTGGTTAGATTTCTTCCTTATAAGGAGATCTCAGGAAGACCTTCACATGGAGATAAGTAACAGAATGCATCATAGTGAAGTACAGTTAAGGTTTGAAGGCAAGTAGAGGTAAGGCTGTCTCATGGGTCTCTAGCATCAAGTGTCAGTTACTGAAACAAGAAGGAAGGAAATAGGATTCTTGGTGACAATACAATGATGCAATACAAACCCATGGGTGGGTCATAGAAGAGACTGACCTGCTTTGTGATTCTTCTCAGGCTAGCCCTGCTTAGACAGCTGACAGGCATTTACCTGAAAAAATATTTGTAATCTGACTTGTTACTGCTAAGGCAGTGAGAAAAGCGAAACAGCTCTTAGGTGGCAGGTTTTCAGCCAAAGGACTGAGCAATTGACATATCCTGGCAATTGACATAGCTAACCTGTCGGGATCTATCCGAGGGTTTTTTTTTTCAAAGAAGCAATGTGTATAGAGCTGAAGTGGTTGAAGTGGTTGAACCCTTGACCATGTCCTAGACTTGGAATCTGTGGTGACAACAATGGGAAACAACTTAAGTCCTGTAGAAAGCATCGAAAATTATATTTTGTCAGAGACCTTTCCAAAGTTATCATTCAGAATTGGACAGTTTGCCATTCAAAACTCAGTGTTTTGGTGATTAAAGAGTGAACAGTTATTTGGTGAATATTGGGATCAAGCTGGATTGTGTTGATGTCCAAGCTCTACCAGCTGACACCTAGGACAAGTCATTTAAAATTTAAAAGTCCACTTTCATTATTCTTTATTTTTATTTTAATTGGATGCATCTGTGTGTACCTGTGTCTGGATATGTGTATAACTATGTAGGTATTTTGAGAAGCCAGAGGGGATCATCATACCACCTAGAGCTGGAGTTACAAACAGTCAAGAAATGCCTAATATTAACATTGCTGCGCAAATTCCAGAATGCTCTCTTAGCAGCTGAGCCATCTCTCCAGCCCTCCTAAACTTACCTTCATTCCCTGAAAGAGTAAGATATAATGATACAGGGAGTTATTGGGATTTTGATGAGACCTAAATGAAATGGTGAATATAATGCACTTGATGATTAGAAAAGGCTCAACATATCATGGCTATTATTTTATTAAAACAAACAAGTTTAAAGAAATGCAAACAGAAAACATGACATAGCCACCAGCTTTCAGTATTCTACCTACAATATTCAATGTAGAATATTCTCTCAGTGATTTGGAAGCCCAAGACCCCCATGTTCATAAGTCAGATTTCCTTTTCTCTTGAACTTAAGAAATTCTTCCCACGTCAACCAACATTTTGTTAAAGCACACACGTGCTTTAATGTTTCATCTTTATCAGAGAAAATACAAACTTTCTGGTTATCTTCAGTGTGGTAGACATAAGCATAGGTATCATTTGGTCCGTTTCTCCAGGTTAGGCATCCTTTTAAGAGCTTGTTTCTTTTGTTTTCTCGTTGTTAATACAAAGCCTATGTTTCTGAGTCAGATCACGATGAGGGCTTCTGGGCAGCTTTGACCTAGGCAGCTTTCACACCACTTGCTCCAGGTGAGAGAACATATTTCAAGGGCATCTGTACTGGCCATGGCACTACAGTACAGTAGAAAAGTCAATGTGCACGTTTATCTCATCCTCCCTTTCCTGCTCACATGAAGCAGACGTTACAAATTCATAGGCTGATGAATCAAGTTCTAGCCGACAATTAGTTTTGCACTGCAGTGAATAAAATTTGGGGATTAAAACATCAATTGAGCAGAAAGTATCTCATGTGAAAAAGTGGAAATCATTCAAAAGGAAATATGTTTGCTTTATCCAAATGAATCATGATACCTCTATCCTCATAAGAAACTGGTATGAGTAAAGCCTCTGGCCTACCCTGTCCTGACTCAGCAACATGAAGCAATTTATTAATGGCTGCTATTGGCTTCATGCCTTCCTTCATTGCCACAGAGATCCCATTAGTGGAGGCTGCACACAAATCTGCTGATTTCTTCTGTGTTAGTAAGTAAGACTGGCAACTGCTTTTGAATCAAAAAAACAGCATTAATAAAAGACCATTGCAGGATCCAGCAGAGTTAGGATGCTAGCACCTTGAGAAAGCAGTTCCCAAGAAGTGCTATGGGTGGGAACATTCCTCTGCTGGACTAATGAGAATCATGATCTGCCCATAGTATCTGTTTTAACAAGCACAGGAGAGGAAGGACCTGAAACTCAGCTTTGATAAAGCAGTGCCAAGTCCAGGAGGAAGTAAAGAACATGGTGTTGGAAGGAAGAGGATAATACAGCATCAGACACTTCTGAACACTTAAATCTAAATGAAAAATTTCTATTTATTTGTGACCTGCTTCTAAGAAATAGTAAGCACTCATGTGTTCTCCCTATATTAGCTAATCTAATCTTAACAGTCGAAAAGGTACACTCACTGTCTCTATATTAAAGCAAATATACCAGGTCAAAAGAAGAAAACACACACACACACCACACCACGCAGATACAAACTCAACACACACACACACACACACACACACACACACACACACACGTAGAAAGGCAGGGGACAGTAGGGAAGGAGAACGAGGGAGGGAAGGAGAGAGGGAGGGAGGAAGGAAGGAGGAATGATGAAGAAAGGGAGGGGGAAGGGAGAAAGAGAGGA